GTCTTGTCCACATTCAGCTACAGGACGTTTGTGCTCATCCAGGCCTTGATGTCTGCCAGACAAGCTGATAGAATATCAGTGGACCTGGAGTCGCAGCTATAGGAGGCGAAGTAGATGTGTGTGTCATCCACATAGATGTGGAAGTTTACCCCATGTCTGCAGATGACATCGCCAAAAGGGAGCACGTAGATGAGGAAAAGAAGCAGGCCAAGGATGGAGCCCTGGGGAATCCTGCATGTGACTGGGCGAGGGCGGAAGGAAAAAAACATTTGCCGAGATGAAGTGGAGGCGGTTGGTTAAGTAGTACTCGAATAATCAATGGAAATGAAATTACATTCACACTGGTGTAATGACAAATAATCCTCTAATTGGTGTCGTGGCTATCTGTGGAAAGTTGCTGTGTGTAAATTGGATGTTTGCCTACAATTACTTTACAGTAATACGTTTTGAGACATGTTGGCGACATGATAAGGCATTATATTAAATGCTAAGGTTAGTTATTTCATTATCCTGGTCAACGTGCCAGAAATGACATCCATGGTGACTTGACAAACTGGAAGTTGGTTCTATTATGTGCTTGATAAAAACATATAGGTAAAAATTAATTAAAACTAAGTTAATTTTTTCCATTAAATAAGGAAAAATAAAAATCAATTTCCACCAAGTCCAGCACTTGTGCTACTAGACCAGCCATCAGTGCCAGTGTCCCACCTTTCCCCTCCTCCGAGTGTTTGTTGTAGATCCCTCTACCAGAGGGAAGAGTCATTCACTGTCGAACCGGTCAATTCTTTTGTTTTGAATACATCAATCAAATCATCCCAAAGGCTTCTCTGCTCTAAATATAATAATAATCCTTGCATTTGATATAGCACCTTAATCACATCGTTAAGATATCTCAAAGCGCTTCACAGAATATATTGTAAAGTGGATTGACTATATTTTGTGAGCAAAACGCAGCAGCTAATTGCGCACATCACTGTCAAACAAATAGTCATGGATTAAGTGGCCACATTTTGTTTTGAGGGATTATTGCCCTCGAAAAACAATCACCAATCAACCTACAACCAGGTTCATACCTACTGCTAGATAAATAGAGACGTGTGGAGTAAGGAAACTTGCCTCAGGTTTTGCCCCATCTGGGAATCGAGCCCGGGTGCTTTCGCATGCGAGGCGAGCGCACTACCCACTATGCTATGGGATTCCACAGGGCTTTCTAATCCCAATATATGCAGCTTCTCATCACACTTAAACCCCTTTAGCCCAAATATTAGTCTAGTGAACCATCACTAGATACCCTCCAAGGTTAGTTATATCCTTCCTAATATTGGATGCCCAAAATTGAGCAAGATTCTCCAAATGAGGTCTGACTATCACTCCATAGAACTGGTAACACACTATAACACACTGCTCCATACTTCTATATTCCAGATCTATTGAAATAAAATAAAATCTAGCATCCCATTGGTCTTGCTGATTGCTTTCTTCAGTTTTCAAAAGCGTTTTGAAGACAGAGGGAGGATGTGAGTGATGCGGAGGAATGTGAAGGGAAATTCCAGACAGCAGGGATATAGTGGCTGAAGATGATTTAATTTGTACATAAATAAAACAAGAAGCCAGCATCTGAAAGCACCACATTACAAAAAGAAATCTTGAAAAATGAACTCTGGGCAGAGGGAGATTATGTGGAACTGTTGGTGGCAATGTGTTAGCAGGAAGCAAAGTGAAATTCCCACCAGGGAATGTGCAGTGGTTTGTGGGAGGCACTTCAGAACTGCACATTGATTTTAACATTACTTGCTGATTGAAAAGCTCAATCTCAAGCTGATATTTCTGTGGTCTTCAAAAAANGCTCTTGTTGGGTGATTGTATCTTTCATGAGTTGTACAGGTAGTTTCGCTTTAATCAGAAAAATACCTTTATGCCCTATCTGGTCAGCTTTAACGTAAAAATCTTAAGAACGTAATTTGTAACCAAGGAAACAGTTAATGTTCAGTAGTTCCTTTACTTCATTTAGTATAGATTGCTATAGAGATATTCTAGATAGATATCAGTAACAACTCTTCAGTATATCAAAAATAATAATAGCACCATCACAATAAATATCACAGTAAAATACTTATTTATTTTATTATATTTTATTTATAAAAGACTTATCATTGTACCCCTCCCCCCCATCCTCCTGTCCATCATTCCATCTGTCTAACACGTTCAGCCCAACATATTACCCTCCTTCCCTGCAAGACTGCTCATGGAAAATAATTTGAAGGCATAATGTCCTAAGTTAATATTAGAGGATGAAACTATCATGTAACATTCAATGGTAATATTTTGGCTGTGTCACATTTTTACAAGGTGCATCACTAAATATTGCTGTTTATTAAGTATTGAACAGATTTGTTTCAGCACTATAATCAGCAGGAATGGGAACCTGACTAATATATTTGCCTAACTCCAATTATAGTGTATCAAATATACAGTAGACATTTATTGTACTGAAAAAGTGATCGTATAATGCTTTTAGAGGAGAAATAGATAATAATACCAACTTTAATTATGCATTTCCCTAACTTTGTTTTACTTTTTCTCAATCCTACTGTACTTTGTGAAAACCTTCTAGTAGCTATCCCTGAGGACCCATTTGAACTCTGCTCCATCTTCTCGATTAATGCATTTCTTTTCTTTTCCTGTTCCTGAAACTATTTTAATTTATTCTTCATTTCAGGGCAACCTTTGCGTATTTTTGCAATTATGGAGCATCATGGAGTCCTGCAGCTCAGTGGTTAGAGCACTGGTTCCACAAGCGAGATACCTGGGTTCGATTCCCGACAGGGCGAAATGTTGGCCAAAAGTTTCCCTACTCCACACACCTCCATTTACCTAGCAGTAAGTAGGAACCTGGTTGTCAGTTGGTTGTCAGATCACTTTTCCGGGGGGGGGGGGAGTAATCCTTTCAAAAAAAATAATTTGGACACTCAAATCATGGATGCTTGTGGAAACTGCTGTGCGCAATTGGCTGCCGCTTTTTGCCCACAAGATACACAGTCAATTTATTTTGCACTATATTCTGTGAAGTGCTTTGAAATGTCTCGAAGACGTAATCAAACACGATATCAAATGCAAGGATTATTATTATACTGTAAAGTGCAGTCAGTGACTGTGTGTTCTGTGGCCAAACATCAGTAGGCATCAGTAAGCATATTCTCTGCTTTTACAATTAAGATCTTGCACAGTGCCTGTTATAAGAGTAAAGAGCAAGTTTCTAAAGGTTAAGTATCCCTGCATAATAGTTTCTCAACCTTCAATAATGTAATAAGTTTAACAGGAGAATATGGAACTTCTGACCCAATATGCAAAGTATTAACATTTCAAATGTCTGAACATATTGGCTGAAAACTATTCAGAACAATGACTGCATTTAATTACACATCAGTAACGTGAAAACAAATTGTACTCAGACTTCAATTCTGATTGTCATTTTATTTTAATGACGGTGAATTATTGTTTAATGTTACAATATTAGGGAATAGGGTCAAACGAGGTAAGGTGAATGCTCCCTATTCCTGGAGAATAGTTCAATGTTTGCCAGCAGCAACCTAGAGAGTAATTAACAACTAGAACAATTTATAAAGCAGGGTGGTTGAAGCCAGGACACTCGACTCATATTTAAAAAAAAACACCTTGATATGTGATGGAGGACAATGGGGTGGGTATTCTGAAGGATTAGATCAAATGAACTGAAGGGCTTCTTCAGTCAAACCAATCTTGTGCTCTCGTGAACAAATCTGGGAACACACCATCCTACGTGCCTGTCCTTCCATTGTGAGCAAAGGCATCACAGCTGAGCCAGATCTTAATAATAATAATAATCCTTGCATTTGATATAGCACTTTTCACGTCTTTTGGATGCCTCAAAGTGCTTCATAGAATATACTGTAAAGTGAATTGATTGTATATTTGTGGGCGAAATGCAGCAGCCAATTGCGCACAGCAGTGTCCCACAAACAGTCGTGAATTGAAGTGACCAATTTTATTATTGTTTTTTTTTGGAGGGATTATTATCAGACGTGTGAAATAAGGAAACTTGCCCAAGGTTTGGCCCTGCCGGGAATCGAACCCAGGTCTCTCGCTTATGAGGCGAGTGCTCTAACCATTGAGTTTCAGGACTCTTTTTCTTATTCAACATCCACACATGTTTGAGGTCCAGTATAACAATCAGCAGGAATGGGAACCTGACTAATATATTTGCCTAACTCCAATTATAATGTATCAAATGCCTGACTGAGATAGGCTAATTCAACCTGAGAAATAAACCTGTGATTTTCTGGTTTGTGAGACTTAGTCCTTGGTAGTTAGCAACTTTGTCCACTAGCTCATTGGAAAATGCTGTATCCTTTGTTCAATGCATTTATTTATTATAAGAGGGTGATAATGGAGCTTCACGTTATGGAAAAAGTATGTCTTACTACAGTAATACATTCAGAATTTCTTGGTACAGTTTGGCATCTGTACTATCATTTAGAAGTCCTCTGAGATATTATCTCCAGAAGGACACTATATAAATGCAAGTGGTGTTATAGTCTCTACTCATTTCTATATGTGAATCTTTTACAAAGGATATCAAAAGAAAATAATAACCACTGTTTTTGATAATATAATAATAATAAACCTTGCATTTGATGTAGCCCCTTATCACAGTGTCAAGACGTCTCAAAGCACTTCACACTGTAAAGTGCAGTGACTGGATATATTTTGCAGGTGACCAGAGCAGCCAATTTGTGCACAACTAAGTCCCACAATTAGTCATGAAGTTGAAGAGCATCGCAAATAGTTTAAAATGCTTTACAAATTGCCAATCACACAGATCAATCTTGATAGAAGAATTTGTGTTTATCGATACATACCTTGTTATGTTCTACCAGTTTAGCTTGTAGAAAAGTTTGAAGCACAGCAGACATTCAGTTGTATTTCTGAAAACATTACCAACCTAGCAAACGACATACCTTCTTTTTGGATGTTTCAGATTTCTTTGAAATATTGCGCAATTTCTTGTGCAAGTGATTTAGCACCTGAAAATAGGAAAAGCATTATTACAAATTAATGATGAAATAAAACACCCTCAAGCATTTTCTTTTTGTTGAAATTCAACAAAACATCAGAAATGAACAGATTTGAAATGACTATTGTTCAGTCAGCAAAGTGTGCCACAGTTAGGTAGTAACTGCAATTTGTATGGAATATGTTTAAACAAAGATATTTGGTATATTAAAAGATTGAACTGTAGCAGCATTTTAAATATCACACAGTATGGGAAACATGCTCAGCTAGTACTAATATTAGACCTTTTTTTAATGTGCTTTACTGATATACCTATGACAAGATATCAACAACATTTTCATCATAACCATGATAACGACTATCTTCGGGCAACGCTTTAGTTATGGAATGACAATTTGTTGTAATCCTCTGTCCAGATCCTGTATGAACAAAATATTGTTCTGAAACATTCGTGCTTTTCACTGCTATGGTCATATGTTAAGAAAAAAAGAACTTGAATTTTTATTGTACGTCAAAACATTTCAAAACTCTTTACAGTAATCCAGGTGTCAGTCTGGCTCAGTTTGTAGCACTCTCACCTCTGAGTCAGAAGGTTGTGGGCTCTAGCCCCTTACAGAGACTTTGAATTTGCCATGAATCAAAAAATATTCAATTAAGAAAAAACTGAAAACACATCAGCGATCAAATACAGACTTACCTAGACTTGTGTGAATGTTTTGGGTGGGTGCTTCTTGATGGCCCCATGGGCCACAAATTAGCCACTACTGGTCCAGGCTGACACTCCAGTGCAGTGCTGATGGTGTGCTGCATTGCCGGAGATGTCACCCTTTGGGGAGATGTTAACCTAAGATCCTGTCTGCCTGTTCAGATGGCCATTAAAGATTCCGTAGTACTATTCGAAAGGAAGTTTTCCCAGTATCCTGGCCAAGAATCCCGCAAATAAAATTGGTCACTTCATGGCTGTTTGTTGGACATTGCTGTGTGCATTTGTATTTGCCTACAAAATACGCAATATTTATACTTTACAGTATATGCTGTGAAGCGCTTTGAGACATCCCCCTGATATGATGGGTATTATATCAAATGTAAGGATTATGTATTATTTATTGATTCTATTATGTATAATTTATTGTATAAAGCGTCTCGAGACTCTACCCTGGGTGGAGGGTACTATTTAAATGCAAGCTGTTGTTAATGTTGTATTTATTATTATTATCAAGCACAAACACCCATGAGATAAATACAGATTTATCTGGAGGACTGTTCACCAGGACACCAGGAGAATCTCACTTCTATTTGTCATGGGATTTTAAATGTTCATCTGAACTTCTGTTTGATGTCTGATCTGAGGGATGCCACTTCTGCCAATACAAAGCTCTCCCAGGACTGCAAAGGATTGGCAGCCTAGGTTATGCAGTCAAAGAAGAAAAAAAGTCAAAGGAGTGATTTTAAAAAAGAACACTAGAATTGATAGCACAATAATGTTCTCATTACTGCACTCCAAGTCAGCAAAATCCATGATGTATAAAGTATAGAGCAGTGAGGATCAAATCAGAATTGACATACACAGGGGACCTTTTACACCGCAATTAGTGTTGCTGCATTATTTGGTAGTCTGGAAGCTATTTTGTACATTGTGTGCAAGAGCACTGAAAGTTTAATTAACCAAAGTACTAATAATCGATACAGGTTAGGTTTAGCAGTTTCAGTTTCTGGGGTAAGGATAATACAGACACACTCAAATTACATTTAAATTTTAAAAATCTGTTGATTTTATTTGGATGTAGTGATTATAAAAAAATATTTCTTAAAGGTGCTACCAAGGTAAAATATTCATGGTGTCAATCTGGTTCGGGTGATAGGCCTCTGAATCAAAATTTGTAAGTTAAATCCCCACATTGGGGCTTTGAGCTCATAGTCTAAGCTGAGAGTCCAGTGCAGTGTCCTGGCCAAAATCCTCCAAATAAAATTGGTCATTCACTTCATGGCTATTTATGAGACATTGCTGTGAGCAATGTGAGCTATTGTGTTCGTCTACACTTTATAGTAATTCCTGTAATGAGTTGTTTTAATGATGTAATAAAGAGCTTTATTGAATGTAAGTATTATTAGATTTTCTTTGGTGATGGTGAGACAAGTAGCAGAATGCGGAACTGAGACAAAATTAATCTAAATTAAGTCTACTTAAATTAGAAAAGATTTCTTCCCAAAGGTAGTTAATGTGATACATACATAATGTTATTGAAAAGATTCAGAGCATGTTACAGAATAATAATAAATAATTATTTCATTTGATATATCTACAATGTTGAAACATCTCAATGTGCTTCACAGGTATTTTCTATCAAGTGTATTGATTCTGTATTGAGTAACAATATGAAGGCTATTGCGCAAGTTGCAAATTCTGGTGAATGACAAATTCATCTTGACGATTGTTGGCCAAGAATCTGGGAGAAACTTCTTTTTTCAAATACTGCTAAGGAATCTTTAACATCCACCTAAACAGATAGACTGGAACCTGGTTTAAATGCCTCCTTTGAAGGATGAAACTATCAATATTGGAGTGCTTCCTTCCCTAGTATTTCACTGGCGTGTGAGCCTGCACTAGATGCTCAGCGAACCTATGCTTCTTTCAAACAAGCTAAATACACTAACACAATGCAACTCCTGTAGATGAAGTGATGAGTGCAAATTACATCAACAAATTTATTTTTTCTTTTCACTGCCCTAGTGGTCCTGAAAGTCTATCCAACAGCAACAAAACAATATGAAACTTTACTTTTACTTCAATCCAGAAATGAATTAATAACATTCTGAAATTATTAATTGATCTCTGGAAAAGCCAAGTACAACAACAACAGCAGCTTACATTTATATAGCGCTCTTCACGCGGGGTAGCGATCCTGGAGCGCTCAACAGTGGCGGAATCTGACACCGAGCCAGAGGAAGAGGGAGGGGTAGGTGACCATAAGCACACTCAAAAAGGAAGATCTTTAAGTGGAACTTGAAAGTGGAGAGGGAGGGGGCAAGTTGGAGGGATTGAGGGAGGGAGCTCCAGAGCTTCAGGACATAGTGGTTGAAAGCACAGACACCAGTGGTGGAGCGGAGGGAACAAGGGACAAACAGGAGGCCGGACCTGGCTGAGCAGAGGCAGCGGGTGGAGGAGTTGGGAGTAAGCAGGTCGGATAGGTAGGAGGTGTTAGGGCATGAAGGGATTTGAAAATGAGTGAGAAGATCTTGAAGTCGATCCATTGGGTAATTGGGAGCCAGTGCAACCTGGCAAGGTCTGGTGTGATGGGGGTAAGGAGTTTTGTGGGGTTGCGTATCCGGGCGGCGGAGTTCTGAATGAATTGAATTTTATGTATGGTGGAATTGAGGAAACCAGTGAGGAGGGCATTTGAATAGTCCAGCCTGGTAGTGGAGGCGGCATGGACGAGGTTTTCGGCTGCTGTGGGTGTGAGGTACGGACTGTGGCGGACAATGTGGCCAAGGTGGAAAAAAGCGGTCCTGGTCAGGGAACGGATGTGGGGGAGAAAGGAAAGGTGTGGAGTGAATTTGACCTAAATTGTGCACGGGTTCAGTGAGTCTGGAGGAGAGTGGGGAGGTTGAAGTGCTCAGACCCGCAGGAAAGAAGACGTTGACGGGAGCTAAGCAGTATGGCTTCCGTCTTGCTGACATTCAGTTGCAGGAAATTTATACTCATCCAGGCAAGCTGACAGGACATCAGCGGACTGGGAGTCGCAGCTGGAGGAGAAGTAGATTTGGGTGTCATCCGCACACATGTGGAAGTTGACCCAAGTCTACAGATGACATCGCCAAGAGGGAGCATGTAAAAATATAAACTCCACATATAAAATAAAAGTTTCACTCCTCTGTCACAAAATGAATAGATGAATATTTTGAAGCAAAGTTCAGAAGTGTTTACAAATTCCTTGTTTTTTAAATGTTGATAAATCTCCATAGTTTTAGGTTGCGCATCGGTTTGGTGAGTCTGAGGGATAGGCTGAAGAGGTTGAGGAGGTCAGAGCCGCAGGGGTCAGAAAACACTGACGGGAGCCAAGCGGTATGGCTTCTGTCTTGTTGACATTTAGTTGCAAGAAGTTTGTGCTCATCCAGGCTCTGATGTCTGCCAGATAATCTGGCCATAATCCACTTCAGAGTAAATCCTGTGAAGTGCTTTGAGATGTCTCAATGGTATAATAAGGGTCTATATCAAATGCAAGGATTATTATTATTATGAACATTATGATGCTTTCAGCATCTGAGGTGAGGAGGCGCTGATGGGAGCCAAGCAAGATGGCCTTGGTCTTTCACTTAACATTACAATGAATCCTTTGAAGCCCTTTGGGATGTCATCATGGAGTCCTGTAGCTCAGTGGTTAGAGCACTTGCTTTGCAAGCAAGACACCTGGGTTCAATTCCAGGCAGGGCAGGGCGAAACCTTGGGCAAGTTTCCTTACTCCACACGCCTAATAATAATCCCTCCAAAAACCCAAAACAATAATAAATTGGTCTTTTTCAATCTACGACTGTTTGTGGGACATTGCTGTGCGCAATTGGCTGCCGCGTTCGCCCACAAATATACAGTCAATTCACTTTACAGTATATTCTGTGAAGCGCTTTGGGACGTCCTCCCGACGTGAAAAGCGCTATATCAAATGCAAGGATTATTATTATTATTATTATTATTATCATGACATGAAAGGTGCTATATCAAATGCAAGGTAAACCTCCTTCTGCTCTGTCCCAACAATGGTGCTTAAAACTTCAATTTCAGAATCCTCAGTTGCATTGTTATGAATTCTTGCTGTCCACATGAGCCATACTTATGACCACAATCGACAATTAGTTCTAATACACCAACTCTGTTGTGAAACTAAACTACCAGTGGAATCCTGTAGCTCAGTGGTTAGTGCAGCTCGTGTACTGTCCCACACCAGGCTTCGCAACCACATAACTCCCACCCTCGCTCGCCTCCACTGGCTTCCCATCCCCCAGAGGATCAAATTCAAGATCCTCATCCTCACCTTCAAGGCCATTCACGGCCTCGCTCCCTCCTACCTCTCCGACCTACTATCCCCCTACCTACCTGCCCGTACCCTCCGTTCCTCTGGCTTTAGTCTGCTCCACATCCCCCGCCCCAACCACCCTACCATCGGTGGCCGGGCCTTCAGCCTCTCAGCCCCCAGGCTCTGGAACTCTATCCCCCAGTGCCTTCGCCGCCTCCTCCCTTTCCTCCTTCAAGGCCGGTCTCAAGACCTCTCTCTTTGACCGTGCCTTCAGCTCCCCTCTCGACTCTCTACCCCCTCCTCGCTCCCTCCCTTCCCTCCCCTCACCCTGACCATTTCCCCCCTGCTCGGGTCCTGACCCAACTGTCCAGCGCCTTGGGACGTCCTCCCGACGTGAAAGGCGCTCTATAAATGGAATCTTGTTGTTGTTGTAGAGCACTCGCTTCACCCTGGGTTCAATTCCCGGCAAAACCTTGGCCAAGTCTGCTTACTTCACATGCCTGATAATAATCCCTCAAGAAAAAAAGCAATATTGATCACTTCAATCCACGACCATTTGTGGGACACTGCTGTGCGCAATTGGCTGTTGCGTTTCGCCCACAAATATACAGTGAATTCACTTTATAGTATATTCTGTGAAGTGCTTTGAGACGTCTAGAGAGAAAAAACATGAAAAGCATGAAGAAAAAAAGCGCAAGGATTGTTATAAGGATTATTATTTTGCCAGTCAGTGGAACTGAGACTGCAGATCAAATATCACTCAGGACCCTTACAAGGGCAGAGACTGATGACATTTTCAATCTGGGCCAGATTTGATCCCAGAAGTCTGAAATTTCTAACAGTATTGCCAATAAAACCACTGTCACATTGACTTAAAATCTAAGATGAAGCAGAATTTTGGAAATTGTCCAATTCAGACCTACGTTATTTTCCAGTTCGGAAAACAGCTTCCAAATTAAGGCTGAATATAAGAATTTTCCAAAATCCCCACAAAAAAGCTAAAGCCTTGAGAAGTTTGGGATCTCAGATATTGCAAAACGATTTTGTCAACTTATCAATTTTTAATGGATTTAAATTGTTCCTTCATTTTGCCGTTTTGTTAATGAGCAATTTTAGAATAATAATAAAAATAATGAGAATAACCCTTGCATTCGATATGTCACCTTTCATACTGGGATGGCTTATCAAAGCACTTCACATGATTCACTGTAAAGGGTGTTTATCTTGTACGTGACCATGTATTTTGTAGATGTACGCAATAAATGTAAATGTAAAATTCTGCAGGAATGTACATTTAAGATGAATCTTGCTACAAGGATAAATCCTGACACATTTTCATGAAATGTTATTTCGTTTTACAGATTAAGCGATGAGACTTAAGCACTTAAAAAGAGAAAAGCATAAAAAGAAGCCGTGCTAAACTACCATCCCTTCTTTTAAAAATGCAAGTGGATTAAAAATACATTTAAGGTTCAGTCCACCTTATCAGGTCTGTCTCTGTTGGAAACAATTTTTAGACTCATATCAATGAAAATAATCAGAAATCCATGTTTAACTTATCCTTCTCCCAGATGGGTACACATCAAACTAGCAATATAAATCAATGAACCAAACAAGACAAACATCCATTCGTCTGTTAACAATTTAACTAATGCATTCAGTGAACGAAACGATAATTTGCAGAGAGAAAGAAAGAAGAGAAGAGACTATCTGGTAGATCCTGCTACAAGCTCTTCTCTTTCTCCGACGGCCGCATTTCTTTAAGATGGGTTTAGAACGGGATCTCCAAAGTTGCGTTTATTTTCATTTTGTCCTCGTGTTGGTGTAATCGTGCCATTTGAACCGTTCATTTACAAAAAAAATACAGTGAATGTTGGGATGGGGGGGTGATGGCTTTTTGGGGCTCGGGGCAAATGTACAGGAGGAGTTTCTGTGTGGAAAGCGAACAGTGAGGATGTCAGAGCCGCCTCAGGTACTCACTGGAGCACAGAGCCTGGACAGTGAGAGGGTGAGTTGTGGAAAGCTTTTGCAGTGTAGTTATTTCCAGTTGAATACCTTGCTAAGTGCAGCCCGGGTGGCTTCCAGGTTTTATTGCCGTGACGAATGAGTGAAAGTTACGCCTGGAAGTAACTTCTCACGGGGGTGAGCTGAGAATGGAGGAAATAAATCTCACTAAGTACTCATTTGCAGACACAGATTTATTTGTAAGAGCAGAAGGATGTGGGTTTGAGTTTACTCCGGGAAAAGGATGTATTTGTTTTCTTTAGAAGATGTCCTATGGGTAACATCAATTTGTTTAAGATTGTTTTCTCTTGGTGGGGGGAGAAAGATGAAAATCTACAGCACTGTATAAGCAAGAATCTCAGCTCAGTGTGAGCCTTAAGATGTCAGGATCGGTTCTTGACAAGACAACTGAGGGGAAAGGGGGGGCTGAGGTCTGAGGGATGGTTAGGACAACTGAGGAGAAAGGGGGGGCTGAGGTCTGAGGGATGGTTAGGACAAGTGAAGGGAAAGGGCGGGGCTGAAGTCTGAAAAGTGAACCTTACCTTCGCCCACAAACATACAGTCAATTCACTTTACAGTGCGTTCTGTGAAGCGCTTTGGGACGTCCGCCCGACGTGAAAAGCGCTGTATCAAATGCAAGGATTATTATTATTATTATTATTACCTTGGCGTAGCAGTAGCAGATGAGACAGAGAGGCAGCAGATAGCCCACCAGGAATGTCAGCACTCGGTAGACCTGCCTGTGCCTCAGGACGCTCCAGTTCTCCCAGCAGAAAGGACCATGGTGGTCCTTGTAGACCAGCATGTGATAGTAAGCCACGGGCGATGCCACGGCCAGGGAGAGGGACCAGATGAAGACCACGCTGGCCCAGGCGTTCCTGGACACCCGAATGCAGGACGACTTCCTGGAGTGGACGATGGCGATGTAGCGGTCCACAGCCATGGCCGAGAGGGTGAAGACGCTGACCAGCATGGAGACGGTGAAGAAGTAGTGGACGCTCTTGCAGATGAAGCCTCCGAAGATCCACTGGGGCAGGACATAGTAGGTGGCCTGGAAGGGGATGCAGAGCAGCAGGTAGGACAGGTCGGCGATGCTCAGGTTCAGGATGAAGATGTTGGTGGTGCTGCGGGGTTTGCCCTGGTTGCTGCGGGTCAGCACCGTGATGACCAGCGAGTTGCCCAGGACCCCCAGGCAGAAGATCAGGCTGAAGATGAAGAGGACGATGAAGCTGTCGGTGCTGATCTGCTGCCTCTCCCTCGCCCCTCCCGCCGCTCCTCCCGCCGTGTCATTGGTCTCCAGTCCGCTCCGGTTCTCGTCCATCACTGCTCCAACCCCAACTGCAGCCAAGTCAACAGGTTAAACTGGACCCGGAGTGGCTCGGGGGGAACGCCACCTGTTTAAAGGGTCTCCTTCTCCTCTCCCTCTCTCCCTCCTTCTCCTCTCCCTCCTTCTCCCTCCTTCTCCTCTCTCCCTCCTTCTCCTCTCTCCCTCCTTCTCCCTCCTTCTCCTCTCTCCCTCCTTCTCTCTCCCTCCTTCTCCTCTCTCCCTCCTTCTCCTCTCTCTCCCTCCTCTCCCTCTCTCCCTCCTTCTCTTCTCTCCCTCCTCCTCTCCCTCTCTCCCTCCTTCTCCTCTTTCTCCCTCCTCTCCCTCCTTCTCCTCTCTCCCTCCCTCCTTCTCCTCTCCCTCTCTCCCTCCCTCCTTCTCCTCTCTCTCCCTCCTTCTCCTCTCTCCCTCCTTCTCCCTCCTTCTCCTCTCTCCCTCCCTCCTTCTCCCTCTCTCCCTCCCTCCTTCTCCTCTCTCTCCCTCTCTCCCTCTCTCCCTCCTTCTCCTCTCTCTCCCTCCCTCCCTTAGTTAATATCAAACCCCTGAAGTGGGAGAGGTCTGTAAACGGGGGCAGATTCCCTCCCCCTCGACCGCACAGCACAGTTTCCTTCGCCCCCCCCCCCCCCCTGCCCCCCCGTGTGCAGAGCGCGCTGTGGGGGTTGTGTGCCCCACACACTGTGTGTATATAGTGCCGCGGCCGCTCCCGCCCCTCAGCCTCCACCGCGTCTCCCCCTTTAAGTAGGTGATGGCTTCGCCGCGTCCTGTGAGACTCTGACAACTCAGACGTCGGGGTCTGTGGTCGTGTCTGAGTGCGGGAGATTGATCTGCTGACACTGTCCGCACTGGATGCACCGGGTGGTGGGGGGTGTTTTTTTCTTGTCGTGTCTGTCTGTCTGTGGGAGTTTCCAGGTGCAGTGGATCATCCGCTGCCACTGACTTTCCCTCTGAACACGATGCCGATGGTCAGCACCGGGCGCTGTACCCTCTCTCTCTCTCTCTCTGTGTGTGTCTGTGTCTGTGTCTCCACTGACAGTCACCTCCACACCAAGTCCGGGCTCTTCTGCTGTGAGCAATGCCACACACCGGGACTCCCCGCAGTCAGTCAGTGAGTCTGTGAGTGAGTGAGTGAGTGAGTGAGACACATTCATCCATGTCCGTAACACAGCCGATCGTTTAACTTTTGATCGCCTCGAGGAGTAACTCGGGCGCCGGTCCCCAACAACACAGCTTTGTTCAGCATTTATCAGCGAAAGTCATTTTAAATGCAGAAAATCAAAACCCGCTCTCGCTGTCCCGGGTACCAGGAGCCGATGCGGTGCGATGTTTACACACCGCAGAAGTGCGAAGGGAAGGTTTTTGCTGAAGACATCCATCCAGGACACAGACCAGTGAAAGGCGGGGACTGGGATTCCTGCAGCAAAGAAGCTGTTTGCACTCAATGGGACGGGTCCTCCATAGCTTTGGCAAACTCTTTAGATATAATAATAATAATAATAATAATAATAATCCTCGCATTTGATATAGCGCTTTTCACGTCGGGAGGACGTCCCAAAGCGCTTCACAGAACACACTGTAAAGTGAATTGACTGTATATTTGTGGGCGAACGCGGCAGCCAATTGCGCACAGCAATGTCCCACAAACAGTCGTAGATTGAAAATGACCAATTTATTATTGTTTTTGGTTTTGGAGGGATTATTATTAGGTGTGTGGAGTAAGGAAACTTGCCCAAGGTTTCACCCTCTGCCTGGAATTGAACTCAGGTCTCTCGCTTGCAAAACGAGTGCTCTAACCACTGAGCTACAGGACTCCAAATATGTGCGATACACTTGAAATTCTGTGGTTTGACTTTTTTTAAATGATTGTCTCTATAGTGGAGGGACTGATAGTCACATTACTTAGAATTAGTCTCCATTGCAGACACGAAAAGGGTGCAAATAGCGAGTGCATCTCTATCTCCCCTAACTATCATATTACACACGCACACATACATACACACAGATAGTTACAGGAGTCATATTTAATGACTTAATGCATAACAGTGTTTACTTGGGGTATCTACAACAGGATGTGATCAGTTCAAAAGTCATATTACATTTGAAATGGGACTAGTCACATTTGCATTTGATTTAGCGCCTTATCACGTCGTTGAGACATCTCAAAGCGCTTCACAGAATATGCTGTAAAGTGGAGTGACTGTGTATTTTGTGGGCGAAACGCAGCATCGAGTTGCATGCAGCAATGCCCCACTATCTCCCATGCAGTGAATAGTTGTGAACATTTGAGAGATAGTTGTGGAAAACTCCATCCTTTAAGCAAACCAGAAATGAAGTAGACTGCAGGACATGCATACACTGCCTCTCTCCCTAACTCTTATCTGCTTCTCTAACTGTCCCTGTGATTCTCCTCCTTGGTGGGGAGGTAAGCAGCATCTCTGTGAAGCTGAACTGGCTCCAAGGTAATGGGCTTGACAACAGAATGTCAGAATCGAGTCAACCCTTTGTGGTGGTCTGGTTCCTACGCCAGCTGGGTCCACAACAAAAAATATGACGGTTTGTGTATTTTTCTCTTTGATCGCTTACACTGTAACCTTGTTATTAACCTTCTGCAGAGCTAAAAAAAAATATTGCCATCAAAGAGCCCATTCAGACAAACAGATATGCTTTTTCTGTCATCTTTCCCCTCTCACCAGTTGGCTCCCCCCACCCTCACTCCCCAGCTGAGGTGCCCAGCCAGCATTGTCAAGGTACTTTGTGACATCTTCCCAATGTGAAACGTGGCATATAAATGTAAATTGTTTCTGCAGACACTTGAGGTTACGAGGTGAACAGGATTTGCTTGTTTCTACTTTATTAACACAGATTTTGTAAAGGAGTGATGTGAATCAGTTTAAGCCTAGCTTTCTAACCCAGATGATTGCAATGCACTGGTGATGTGAAAGGGACATCGTAAGACAGGCTTATTGGATGATGAAGTGGATTTGTCTGTAAACGTTTGAGATTTTTTTTCAATGTGACTTTTTACAATTTGAAACAAGAAGTTGCTCTATAGTATAGTAAACACAATGGTGTTTACTCGGAGGGTTTACAAGAGGATTTACTTGAAATGTGTTCGAATCAGAAGTCATATTGAAATTGAAAGGGGAGATTTAAGAGATAGTTGTGGAAAACTCCATCCTTTAAGCAAACTAGAAATTAAGTCAATTGATTTGATATAAGCTCCTGAGTGTACAGAATTTATGATTGACATGAACTACATCGCTTGGTTGAACACAGACGACTATGGAGGCTTAAAGAAGCCAATTCATTTCAAAGGACTGCAATGCTTTTGACTGAACTTTCTGAATATATGGTTATCGCTAAGTCAGTTGCTTTCATTGTTGGTAACCGAATACAGTGCTAGTGAATTATATATTTGTAACTGTTATTAATTCTTCTCTGATCAATAAATTGACTTCTGGTTCAATTGTATTTTTATATGTGACTTATTTTCTGAAACCCAGAGGCATATGGTAAATGGCAAAATGTCTTCATAATCTAGGAGTGGATATAATAATAATAATAATAATAATCCTTGCATTTGATATAGCGCTTTTCACGTCTGGAGGACGTCCCAAAGCGCTTCACAGAACACACTGTAAAGTGAATTGACTGCATATTTGTGGGCGAACGCGGCAGCCAATTGCGCACAGCAATGTCCCACAAACAGTCGTAGATTGAAAATGACCAATTTAATTATTGTTTTTAGTTTTGGAGGGATTATTATTAGGTGTGTGGAGTAAGGAAACTTGCCCAAGGTTTCGCCCTGTCTGGAATTGAACTCAGGTCTCTCGCTTGCAAAGCGAGTGCTCTAACCACTGAGCTACAGGACTCCATATGTTGTTGGTTTGAGAGAATATTCACAAAGCAGCAATTGGTGGCGATAATGAAGATTCCTATAATTTTGTAAGAATTTGTTTGTTACCACACAACATGACTGACTAGCATTACAATCACCTTACTACAGAAAAGAATTTTGACATGAGTTTTAATTATAACACAGTGAGGATATGGCGAGGGAAAAGGCTTGTAGGACAAGGTTTATGGAGCTTAAGAAGAAAGTTCAAAGGAGCAATGACCTTAGTGGTATTGACAAAAAGCAGAAAGATAAAAGAAAATGCATGACAGAGAAAGAGAGAAAATGCACTCTAGTCAAGGGAAGGATCACAAATCAGACTGTATTTGTTTACTGTCTAGAGGCCTAGACAAGTCTTTCAGATGTGTACAGAAAATAGTCAAGATTTGGGTAAACCAGTTCTGTCTATAGAGAGTTAAATTTGATACAGAGCTGAGAGTTGTTGAGGGGAGAAGTTTCCACAAAAGAGGAAACCAATGGTCCTGGAGGCAGCTTTATCAATGAAGGTGTTGCGGGAGGTAAATATAAAGTCAGAGGAAATGATGATGAAATGAGGAACTGATTGATAGACACAGACATTGATTTGACAGGAGATCAGTCATAGTTCAAGCCCTACTATCAGTCATAGTTCAAGCTTTCACTCAGCGAGTTGTTCGAATTTGGAATGATCCGCCTGAAAGGGTAGTGAAGTCCGATTTGGTAACAGCTTTTAAGGGAGAACTGGATAGGTATCTGGGGAAGACAGACTTGCAGGGTTATAGGGAGAAAGCTGGTGATTGGGGTTAGTGAAAGTGACTTGCTCTGTCAAAGAGCCGGCACAGACTCGATGGGCCGAATGGCCTCCTTCTGTGCTGTAACATTCTATGAATCTATGAATCTATGTCGGGACTCAGAATCACATAGTCTAAGAATACACTCAAGTTGTAGGAGATGCTGTCCTTCAGATTAGATGTTAAACCGAGGTCCCATCTGCCTGTTCAGATGGATGTTAAAGATCCCATGGCAATATGAAAAAAGAGAAGGGACATTTTCCCGGTGTCCTAGCTAACAAATCCCCCAAATAAAATTGGGCAACTCACTCCATTGCTGTGCGCAAACTGGCTGCTGTGTTTTGCCCACAAAATACAAAGTCAATCCACTTTACAGTATTTGCTGTGAAGCACTTTGAGACGTCTCGACAACGGGATAAGTCGCTCTATCAAATG